ATCACTGCTCATTCTATGTTAATCCTTGGAGCACTAATCCAGATATGGTTTCTCCCCTAGGCGTTTCTTCTCCAGCTGTACAACGTGGTTAGCAGACTAAGCTTTTTATGGATCAGCTTTATCCGTATTCAGCCGAAGCGCTTATAAAATATCCCTCGTAGAAGGCGGATGGATAATTGCGGTTAGGCCTTCTCGAATTGCTTGCCTTTTTTTCAAGGGAAGTTTTTCTGTAATGTTCTCGAGTTTCAAGCATTGCTTAGAACACAGCAATATGATTCTGCTGTAAAGCCTCTGCACAATCAGTCTAGATATGTTTTTTGCAGCAGAGCAACGTTAGTTGTGGAGTTTTGCCATTAAAACAATTCACAAACAAGGAGTTCACAAATCGGTAATGACCATCAATGGCACAGTTGTTTCGCTATTGTCTCCCTGACCCTAACTTAGCTGAAGGCAAGCCCCGGGATAAAACTAGCGACAAGAATGCTTCGCAGTGATGACTGCGGCGGAACGACCTGTAGTGGTGCGGAAAGCAAGATATATAAAGAAAATAAAATAAAATATATGTTTGGGAACGAAATTAGGCCCTTAACCTTAGATAAGGGGATGTGGTACGATGGCGATCAAAGAAGATGAAACAGAGATCACGCCGTTTGAGAGAGCCCACCGATCTACATTAATGGTGGGTGGGAAACGTTTTCGAAGGGATCGATGGTTGCAGGCCCGTAAGGATTAGCGCCCTAACCGCGCAATTTTGCGACGGAGCTGGCATGATCCTATGTAGTATGAACCCCACAATTTCCCTTGCGGTATCCTTCCTACTAGTCGGGCTAAGTCCGGGGTTTGCCTTTAAGGTCAGTTATAATCTTCCAGTAGAAAAAATTTAGGATAGAGCTGATGGCATACGTTATCGAATTCAATTTCCTTCAAGCTCAGAAGCTGTGAGTCCGCCGTCTTAAGTTATGCTATCATGATAACTCCAATACTAAAGTCCAATACTGCGGAAGTCTGCTAAACATTTTGAATGGGGTCTTTAAGAGTGACTTGACATTCCTTTTCAGTATTCGTTCAAAGCTAATACACGATCGGCACAGCGGCTGCTAGCTAGCTTACCTTTGCCAATTTTGACGAGCCACCTGATTAAAGGAATCTTCCACGGACCATGGACCAGTGGGCGGGACCGGAAGTTTTTGTGACGAAATGCATGGTAGGTACGGATCCACGTGTCGAACGCACGAACGTGAACAGGATTCACTTCAAACCTTCCCATGAACGTGGATCCGTACCTACCATGCATTTCGTCGCAAAACCACTTCCGGTCCCGCCCACTGGTCCATGGTCCGTGGAAGATTCCTTTAATCATGGATATGCGATACCGAGATTGAATCTGAGCAGCGGTTCGTTTGGCGACCACATGCGACGGAACAGTACCCTTTAATCGTACTGCGAGTAACCAGTGAGATGAATGGCGGGTGGAAAGCCGTCCCAATCGTCAGGGTTGATCGACCGTTGTTTGATGCGGCGCCCGGCCTCAATCTTCATTATACGCATGCTGGCAATTTGGAAGGCTATCTGGGCATATACCAACAGACATTGCGAGTACATTATCTAATGAACAAAGCTTGGAAAGTTTATACTTCCGTCAGATTTTTGGCAGCAATCAACAGAATCTTCCCGGAATTCAAGGATTATTCATTTGAGCACGGCAAGGGGAAGCAAACTGCTCCATAATTTCATCATGCCCATTTGAAGTGCAGCCAAATGTCCCTGTCCATATCTGCTCGACCTTTCCTAAGCTAGACGTACATGCATAAGGAGAATAAGACAAAAAGATAACCCTAAGTACAAAGGGCACACAATACAGTCCAAAAATTGCCTCAAAATCTGTAGTCAAGAAGACATGGGCATCCGTCGGATCCTTTGAAGCAGACGTGAGTGATCAACAGTCAAGGGAAGCCCACTCCAGGAAGAGAATACCCAAGGCATTTCCGGTCAGTACAATGAACTTGTCCTTTCACTACTGCGCGTTTGTTCTCCAATATTCATCGGAAGACAACCCTTAGTGAGGTTCCAAGAAGATTTATTGATGAACGACATCCGAATATCCTTCAAAATGCTCTTTGTGTCCATCCTGAGGACTCACATGCACACGCCTGAGATGTCCAAACATTCACGTGCATAGATCGTGCCTGCTGGATTCCCCGTCGCGCCACATCCATTTCCGTTTACTGACGAAGGACGTTTATCGCTAAGGGGATTTTGTTTGTTTTTTATTCAGTTCACCAACCTTTTTCGACGCAAGCACTTTGGCAACGAAAAATGTTGGACTGATTCAGCAGTTATACGTATTAATGTATGAACTAGGTCCCAATACATTAGTGACAGATATGTACAGGGGGAGGGCCAAAAAAGAGTCACTCTCACCACATTCAAAACAGAATTAATTACACTTTGCCAAACCAAACCGAATGAGCTCAATTGCATATTGAAGAGCACATTCTATCTATCAAAAATTACATAGGGGCTTTCTACACCGACATCAGAAGATTTTCCCACGGAAACATGGTTCACGGTACGAGCTCAACGAGGTCGTCGAGAAACCATAGACGATTACGACGTCTCTGAAACGCTGGTCAAAAGCCATTTGCATAGTCAGAGCTAGTGTCCCTAAGAAGCCATTCACCAGTTATCCGATTGAAGAAATTATGTAGCAGCTTCAGAATGGAGCGATTATGGTAGGCCTCCTTGAGCTCGACGGTGATGACAGATGACGTCATATTCTGGAGACGGTGAAGGCAGCGAAGGTGGGCCTGATTCTGCTTATGGGGGACATCTAAGGAATATTTCGCCGTATAACTCCCAATAACAGCGGCATCCTTTGCGACGAAAAGTTTGATGATATGCGCCATGGGCAAAGTGACTCTTTTTTTGCCCCCCCCCCCTGTATACGACTGTCTACGAGGCGTTCAATGCAAAACACAGAGCAGTTTTTGTTTGAAGCACAAATGCGTTGCGTTTTCTTTCCCATCACCTTTCTGAAAGAAACATTTTGAAGATGGACGATATGTAAAGGATTGCACGAATAAAGTTTTTGAGAACTGCTGTCCGAGGAGGGCAGGGTGTGGACCCCAACAAACAGCGAGTGAGTCTTGCTGAAGCCTTTTTTCTCACTATTGTGTTTCCCTTATCCTTAGATATATTAAATTATGGTGAGTCCCGAGAAAATCAATATCAACAATCAGGGTTGGCTGTGTAACTAAGCATTTTTGCAGTGCTACTCCAGTCCTTTTATAGATATGACTCACTATATGTATTCAGTATTCAATGTGTGAAGTTCATGGGGCGTAGCTATCGCAGTTAACAAAACCTCGCCTACCAATAAAACGCAGCCCATAGAACTTGGATTTCGCTTAGTTCGATCAAATACTCCATCATTACCAAATTTTTCAGTAGGTCTTGGCCAGTAGGAAACCCTCATCGAAAGGTGATAGCACGATCTCTGTAGTCTCCTTGGATTCATGATGCAGACCACAAGCTACGGATTCCAATTGTCTCACGTTCAAAGTATTCCTCACATGCTCAAATTTTTATCGTTTTTATCGATGTTTGGTAAATAGTTTGGGATCAGAGCTTGAGGCGTCAGGTATAAACAATAGCTTCCATTTCCCTGGCTCCCATAAATAATACACCTTCACTGACTACTCGAGCCGAGAGCAGCCAATGAGGCATGAAACTGGAACAAAAGTCGCTTATCCGTAAAGTGCGTGAATACGAAGGTATTGAAGCGTGCTGGCATATGCAATGTGTTCGTACCTCGTCTCGGAAATCGATGGGCGATAATACATTCACAGGCACTTGATCGAAAAACGAACGAGCCAGCACAACTATAGGAAACACTTCGGAGCAGGACGCCTAAAAATGTGATTCTTTAGGGCATAAAATCGGCTGCACAAAGGCTTTGTAGACGTTTACCTGCTCAGTATTCGCAGTCAAGATCACCTTCACCTGATACCGAACGGATCCAAACTGGCTCTCGTAGCTGCTTGGGGCATTCTCTGGGATCAACACCTGAACTCCAGGATGTTTCAGACATATGAGCCCTGAGAAGTGTTGGTGCGAACCCACCTGCAGAGGAAATTGGTGCTTTCCAGCAGGAATCGGCGTGCCCGGCGGACACAGTGCCAGTTGACTGTGGAAGTATAACTGAATTTGGTGTAGTCAGGAGATTGTAATTGTAATTGTTTATTACACAGGTATAACCCCATGTGTTAGGCACAAAAAAAACAACACCACAAAACATAACGGCGAGAAATTCAAACTAAATAATATAATAAGCTGATTCTCGTCTCAAAACGCGTGTCAAGTGCGTATAAAAAAATCGGAACATTTTTTTGATCTGCTAATTTCTAGAGATGTACTTAGAGTAGCCGCAAAGCAAAGGGATGCAATTGAGGCAATGCTGGGTAAAAATGTGGCATCCGATACGATACTGCATGAAGTTCAGATGACTCGAATAGGATCACAGTTACAGTACACACTTCACCCTTTTTTGCGTAAGAAGTGTGATGCCTTCGGCGGCGTTGATCAATTCCCTTTTTGGGATGCGCCACGCATTCTACTTCCATTCACATTCGTAGTGGCGTTTGAATGCGATGTGGCCTATACAATGACTTGCGGGGGCCAGCCGATGTACAAGTCAGTGTTTTTATCCTCCCAGACAAGTCTGGTACCAATTAACCGACCCCGGAGGGGAAGGCTTGGTTGGCCCGGGCGACTCACGACCCAGGATTTGATCCCCGGACCGCTCGCGTGGTAAGCGCGCCACTTGCCACTACACCACTTCCGCCCTTTTTTGTATAATGTAATTGAAATACATCAAGAGGGGAGAATTTCACTTTCATACAAAGTCATTTGTCACTCAAAGCAGTGGCATTTGAATTTTGCATGGCCTTTACAATGCCTCGCGGGGGCTAGCAGATGTGCGAAGTAAAATGGCTTTTACACTCTCGGAAACGTCTGGTACAAAATGAACCGACCCCAGGAGGGATGGAAGGCTTGGCTGACCTAGGCGAGATTCGATCCGATACTTAACCACTTCGCCATCTGCCACGAAACCACTTCCGCCTTCATCATGTGAGG